AAAACTCTTTAGTTATTCGAATTGTATTTTACAAGTCGATTTGAATTTGAATTTTTTTTTTCGAGTTGAGTCGAATTTATGAAATTACAACTCGAAGTCAATTTGAGTCGAGTCAAAAAAACTGATTTTCCTAGTCAAGTTTTGCTCACTCCTACCTAGAGGTTTTAGATTCAAGCAACAAAGTAATCAAAGTAGTGATCGTTCAAAACTTATATTGAAGACACACACCTTACTAACACAATTATTCAAACCGAATATATCAAAAAAGAACAACACTTCTTTTAACTACTAAAATCACTCGATGAGTTTTATTGAATATCAATTTTAGAAACAATCATGCTAACCTAATGAAATAAATTCCATGTTCGCGTGAAACTCATCTTGGTTGGTAAGCAATGATTTGTTTGTGAAACCAAAACTATTTAAAGAAGAAATTAATGCCAAAGAGATTGCCTAGGTATCAATGGGGAAATTGTATTGAAGAAAGAACTAACATGAATAACGGGGTACTCAATAAATGAACCTAACAATGACAATATAAATGCAAAGCATTCGCCTGCCTCGTGATGTTATTCACCTCCAACGGCTGGTTACTCCATTTGTAGAAAATAAGTATTTGTGCTTCATCATTACTTCATTAGCGTTTTTTTTTTTATTCTCACTCTTGTTTAGGCCTTGCCATCCATTCAAAAACTTATGTAAAAAAACTCTAATATATTTACCTATGAATGATACGCGGTCCTCAACATCACATGCAAAATCCTAAAGTAATAGTAGTGGATTCAAAATTTTAAAAGTAGGGTTTAAAATTTAATATATTTTAATATTATTTTCTTAAAAGTAATGGCTATGCATTTTTTTAATTTTTTTCTTAATATATTAAACTAAATTTTCTATTTCCCCCTAAATAATAGGGATGCACAAGGCCCCCTAGGGGCTTAGTGCATCTGCCGTTGTAATCTAAGGCCAACCTTAAAAAAAATAGATGTCCCTTATTCCCATATGTAATGGGGTAAGGGGGGATAAGATAGTAGGCTCCCCCAACATTAGGTTGAGAGCAGCTTCAGTAGGAAACCTCCAAATTATGAAAATGCCTTCCATGGGACTCGGTCCCATGACCTCAAGGTTAAGAACCTTGTACTCTACCAACTGAGCTAAATGGTCATTTCTAAGGTCAACCTTAAACCCTATACTAAATATAAACGGTAAAAACAAAAAAGGTAAATTACACAGTTCCTCGCTGAACTAAATTCTCTTTTATTTCACTCACTGAACTTTTAATTTTTTCATTAAATTTTAAAGATTAAATTTTGATAACTTAGTCTTTTACTTTTTAATGGCGTTATAACATTTTAGTTTCATATACAAAATTAAATTTGGTTCAAAACGACATTGTTTTTGATTGAATTTTTTAAAACTTATTGTTTTCTCATTTCTTCTTTATTCTTCTTATTTCTCTCTCTGTCTCTCTCCCTCTACCAATCTAGAAGCTTACTACAACATTAACTGTGGTTCTGACCACCGTTGATTATCATCGCCGAAAGCTGATGAGTCAAAGAACGTCGTCTTTCTCTCCCCTCTCCGAAACCTCCGTCTTCCTCTCTCACCCCAAAACCCTTACAATCTCCCCCCCTTCAAACTCTCATAGTATCTCATTCTCCTCTCCTAATTCACTTACGAAGAAACAGTCTACTTTTTGATTTGGCAATAGGATGTGGCAGCGTAACATTCTCCTTTTCATATTTTTGGAATAAGAAAGATTAGCCTTCATCATGGTTCTATTAGAAAGTTATTTCTTCATTTTGTTTGCTTTCTTTTCCAAGCAACCACACCTCAATGTTGGTTCGCTAGAGCCATGAGCACCAGGGCCGGCCCAGAGCATGGGCAAAAGGGTACTCACCCAGGGCCCTTCTTGCTCATGTCCTAAAATTATAAATTTATATATAATTAAAAAGGATAAATTATTTATGTAGTCACTAATTTATTACTTTATTTCATTTTGGTCATCCAATTATTATTTTTCTTCAAAAACATATTTAACATTACATTTTGTTTCTTCTTCTTTTTTGTTACTCACCATTAAAAACTAACAATGATGTTGATGTCTCATTTTAAAATTATTTTTCATTTTCTACTTATTTGTTCTTTTATTATTTTTTATAAGATGCAAATTCTAACATGTACCCTCTTAAAAGAGGATCATGCTTGTTTTATGTGAGTAGTTGGGTGTTTAATAAAATTTCTTGATGTTTTCTATTTAAAATTGATGTATTTATTAGATAACTTATTAAACGTAATAAAAATAATTTACAAATAATTTTATTTAATTTTTCTTGTTCGTATGATTACTTTGTTTTGTAATACTTGTTATTAGGGGCCTAATTTCTATATTTACCCAATCCACTAAAATATATATAAAAAATGGGCCTGATGAACACCTACATTTGAGGCTGGTATTTGTCATTTTGAACGAATCAGTGATGGTTTGGGAGTGGGGTCGGAGTTGAGGTTTGAGATTAAGGTTTAGTAATTTTAATTTTATTTTAAATTTTTATTTAGCATTAATATTGATATTTTTTATTTAATATCAATATGATGTGATATATATAATATTAAATTATTACATATTAAAAAGTTGTTAGAAAGAAAACAGTCGAGTAACTAAAAAAATTTAATCTATGAAGTTCAATGAATAAATTGAAAAAATTAAAAATTTAGTGAGTGAAATAGAAGAGAGTAAGATTTAGTGAGCAACTATGTAATTTACCCAAACAAAAAAGGGCATTTGGTTTTAGAGTAAATCATCAATGGCTCAAATGGGGTGTTAAAAGCAAACCCTTTGGCCTTTGTCGATTACCTTAAAGTTTTCTCATAATATTACCAAATCTATGTTAACTATAAGAAGGGTAAACTACACTATTATTTACTCATCTTTATTTTCTTTCTTATTTCACTCACTGAACTTTTAAGTTTTTCAATTTATTCATGAATTACTCTTGTTTCGGTCACTACAAATTATATTATTATTATTATTATTATTATTATTATTATTCTATGACATGATATTTATTATTATTAAAATATCAAAATAATTTTAAATAAATAATAAAATGATATTATATTATTATTAAATTTAAAAAGATTAAAAATAATCACGGTCCCTTCTCGTCACTGTTGACCACAGTCAGCCTTCGGTACCGATAGTCGTTTGATCTGAAATTGTATCGAGAAACTTATTTTGACACGTTGAGTCTAAATATGGTAGCTGTTTCACCAAAAAAATGTCCCAAAACTCATGAATCCACTAAAATATTTCGGTTTCATCACTTTCGATCTCCTACTCATGGACTTCGAAGCATGTTCTGATGAAAATGGAGGTCGGATTGAGACTCACGGGATCGAGGCAAAGCGACCCATGAAATTTGGGACCAAGCGACCACAATCATCTACGGTGACAGCTGTTTTGGTTTTCTCATTTTTTTTATTAGATTCAGAGAACGTTCTAATAAAATGGAGGTTAGATTCGAACTCAAGGGGTCGAGGTAAAGTGACCGATGAAATCTGGGAGCGAACGCCACCATCTACGGTCATCGATGATGGCATCAAACGACGACGAACAATGAACGACCACTATCTATCTTAATTTAATATTTAAAATTGTTTTTATATTAAATAAAAAAAATTACCACATCATTTAAAGATAATAATAAAACAATTCATACTGGCCAAAATAGGAGCAATTTGAAAATTCAGTGAGTAAATTAAAAGAATTGAAAGTACAATGAGTGAAATAGGAGAGATAGTAAAGTTCAGTGAGGAACGGTGTAGTTTACCCTTATATATTATTAGTGTAAAAATCTATGTTTCCATTTTGCTTTAGGATGTCATTGAGATCTTTAAAATGTTGAAGGGTGACAAATTGAGAATTCAAAGATAGATGGGATCATTTTTCCCTTTTTTTGAAAAGGTTCTGAACCTATGTTGTATTGAAGTAGAATGGCAAGACTAGAAATGTTTAGATTCAAATTTTGACCAACTAATCCAAACAAACTTTGAAAAAAAGATGGTTCAACCCCATTGTCAAAGTTTGCTAAACATTTGAAAATTTATTGTTTTAGTATAAATTTTATTTACAAGTTTTGCTAGTTGTCTAGAAGATAAAGTTGATATGTTATAGCTTAAAAAATTGTAGCTATCCCACTTCATTGTTTTTAGTGCTTTAAAAACACCCACTAATGGGATTACTACTTTGAAATTCCTTGCTCATTATTCTAGTGATGACCTGGTGCTGAATAAGCATTACTGCATCTTCTTCTTCACTACGGCAACCAAAGGTGTATGGATGAAAATAATTGATGTCATCTTAAATTGTCTTTGTTCTTCTTTAGCCGAGGGAATAAGTGTTCTAAATAATCAACGCCATCTTCACAGTATCATTTTTCTTGATGAAGATGGAGATGTATGGGGAAACAGCATTGATATTTATTTAAGAAAAAAGCATAAACTCCTTTAACAGAAGAGGTATCTCTTAACAATAAATAGAAACCAAAACCAATTATCTGCAGCCCTATAAATATAAGGATCTCCAGTGTTCCATAACCTATTCTCAACAAGCTCCAAAATGGCTTTAGGTTTACAGAGTACTAGATGCTGTTCCTTTCAGATGAATGAAAACAACCCAACGTTTGTTTCAGTTAGTACTTGATTGTGCTGTCATGCAAAGAGACTTTGGTCATTTGATTTACAGTGTCCTTGTAAGGGATCACTTTGGTCATTATCAGGAACATTCTAGGTCCCATTCATGGATTTTGGGCCATTATCACCTACAGTGTGTTGGTAAGTACCTCAGAGCATCAGAATTTTGCCTTCGCAACATTACTTTAGACAGTCTTTAACTGAAAATGCTATTATATGGGACTTCTTAATGCTGATTCTAACTTAATCTGCATAAACTGTAGCTTCTGAGATGACAAAAAGAGAAGATGGTGAAAAAGAGAATAAAAAGATAACAACACTCATATATGAGATTACAATAACAAAACACAAAACCATTGACTCTTGCTCTATAGCCTTGAATTCGAATTTCGTTCCTACATTGCCATCAGATTTTGAGATGCTCTAAACTCTCTACTGTCTCCGATTCTTGCAGATTCTTTGATGTTGTGCTTGCAGCTTCCTCTGCTTGGGCAGCTGATTTGTAGGGCAGGGCTGTTGTAGTAAATGTCGCAACATCTTCGTTTCTCATAGGAATGGATTGTATATCTTCTTTACCTACTGGTGGAGCGGCAAATACAGGAACTGCCTGCCTGATGGTGATAGGTGGGGCAATTCGTACAGGAGCTCGCAGTACTTGGGTGGGGAGTGGTGAAGGTGATTGACGAGGAGGAACTACAGATTGAGGTTGTTGTGCTGGAAGAAGAGACTCTGCTGGATGAGTAGGAATTGCTGATGCTGGTGGCTGAGGGGATACTGCAGATGGTGCTGGATGCGGTGGTGCGGAGAAAACAGGCACTGCAGATCTTATTGTAACTGGTGGAGCGATGCCATGACAAGGTGCCCGTAATTGTCGAATGGGAACATAAGGAGCTGCTCCAGCTGCAGGGAATTTCTGTGGACGAGCACCACAGCTTTCAGGTACATGTGTTTGGGATGATGTCGGTATGAGCTTGTCATGTGCTGCTGCTGACTTTGACCTGTTCCGAGAAACCAACTTTGGGCAGATTAGAGGAAGGATTTTTGAGGTGGTAGCAGGAGGCTGTGGACTAATTGGTCTAGGATTCTGAATGGGAAACTTCTTTGTAAATAATATTGGACCATTAGAGGAGTTTGCCATAGCCATCTTTTCCTTTATTCGATAATTCAACAGCGCCCGAGCAATTGTTATCTGTTCAAGCTCATCGTTGTTCTCTGGCTCTGAAGAACTCATATTTTCTTTCGCCACTAAAAATAAGATATAGTATTCAGTTCCGGCACAAAGAATATAATGAGTCGTCAACTATTTTATCATCGGAACGTTAATCCATAGGAAAAATGGAACCAAGACTCACATAGTTTTAGAGATGTCCAAGCTGACATGGCTGCATTCTTTTCTGCTTGTTTCTTGTTCTTAGCAGGTTCCCCGGTGAATTTGATTCCAGCCAATTCAACTGTTCCCGTAAAAATAGGTAGGTGTCCAAGGCCTGATCTAAACGTCGTATACTGCGGCAATGGAGCCCCGACTCTTTGTGCAATTTCCTGCAAGAGGTTCTTGTAAACCCCAGTCTCATCCTAACATAACAAAGCCGAATCAGTATCAATCCCAATAAAGCTCGAGTTAACAAAGCATATTCAAGGAAATTCAGATATAAACACACAAAAAATTCATCCAGAATTTGATAATTTGTTATCAACAAGATGTTAACATTGATGAACTGGCTGAGAGAAACATAGTTCGCCAAAACTGCATATGTTACATATCAAGGATGCGCACGATGAACACAATCATAAGTTTACAAACTACTTCTCTAAGGAAGTCAAAATCAACGAATAAACAGTTGCAACCTAAGACGCAACGAGGAAACGAATAAGAACCCGACAAGTTATATACCAAACGCAACGAATCATGAATATTGTACGAAATGCTTAACCAAAACGTCTCATAATTGTAGTTCTACATAATCCCAACCGAAATCCGAGCCACCAGTTTGATCATTTTCATCATATTTACATCCTTTTCATAAGCCAAGCTAAGCACACACCATGAGAATCAATCTGCATTTTGTAGATTAAGCCTAAAAATATCCATCTCAAAGATCATATCTTTAGCTTTTGACAGATTCAAGCTACTCATTTGCTAAAGCAAAACTAACTATTTCTCTAAGTTGAGAAACCCAAACCCCTTTCCGGTTCTTCCTTATCAGACAACCCGACCCGAAAGATCTCATTTTTTACCAGCGAAGAAAATCTACAAAAACATTTATTAAATAGGTTGCAATATTGGACCGACATACGCTCAAAGACCTAATTGAATTTATTTAGTCCGCAAGAGATAAAGACACCAAAAATATTTTCTTTAAAAAAATTACCCTCTCTACCGTTTTATTATTCCCAGGCAGTCAAAGGAAGCATTTTTATATGACCGAAATGCACCCATACTAAGCCATTAATTTCACCTAAAAAACCAAAATTATCGAACCACAGCTGTTTCCCAGAAAAATCATACATTTAATTAATTATAAGGGCATTAAATGTCACAACGTGGATTCTTCACTCCCCCATTGTTATTTCACTTAAAAATTAAATTTCCGCTTTCGTCATCAGCTAAAAAGTCAAGAAAATCCTACTGCATTCAGCTACTTCATTAAACATTCAAGGGCATTCCAGTAAAATCCCCTCCCGACAACCAGCTAACTGAACCTCCGGCGATCAGAACGGCGGCTCAGGAAGACGCCGATCACTCCCCGTGGCTCAACTTGGAAAACGAGGCGGAGATGTCAAAGAAAAGGCGTGCATTAGCAGAAGCTTTGAAGAAAAAAACTTACCAGGATTCTAGCGGCGAGGGAGTGAGAAGGTCCACGATTAGAGAGGGATTGGAGTGCGACTTCGGCAGCGGAGTGTTCCGCTTGACGGAGAGTAGAGCAGTAGTGAGGGCTCTCGAAGGTTTCGCCGTTAAAGTTAACGGTGGCTTTGAACCTTGGCGCGTGGTCTGGACCTTCCCTAATGCACGTATAGGAGGGAAGATTAAAGCAGCTCCTCTGCGCCAGCTCTTGCAGCTGGTTCTTATACATTTCTCCCTCTCTTTCTCTCCCTCAAATGAAAACAAGAAGGGGGAAAAATCACTCTTTTATTTTTCTAATTTCCGTTTGAATACTTTATCTGTGATTTCATGCTGGAAGAAGGGACATTGGGATCGGACCCAGATCGGGTCGGGTTGAGATAGGAAAAGGGTCAGGGAAGATCAAGGTTTTAGGGTTTCCCAGGCACTGTAGAACACAAGAAAGGGGAGAAAGATGAAGAAAGAAAAGTGGGATTCTTTTTGGTGAAATGGGAAGGGAAAGGGAAGAGATTTTGCTTTTCTGGGAGTGCGTTTTTTAATGGCAAATTATTTAGTTATTTATTTTATTATATTTCTGGGAGTCAACTGAACGTTAGGCTGCATGGTCGTGGATAGGGGTGTAAACGAGTCGAGTCGAGTTCGAATATTACTGAGCTCGACTCAACTCGAAAACTTTTAAATGGAGCTTGACTCGACTTGAAAACTCGCGAGCTTAAAAATTTTAAGCTCGACTCGAAATCCTAAATTGAAACTCGTGAGCAGCTCGAAAAGGCTCGAAATGAAAAAAAAAATCTTAAACTTAATAAGATCGAATTCTCAATCTCAAACTCGAACCTGAACCTTAAATACATGAAAACATTATTGTATTTTTTAAAAAAAATCAACACATAAATGTTGATATTATTAATAATCTGTTTTTTTTTTAAATGAAATCTTAATATATTATATTTTCGAGCTGATCAAGAGCTTTTCGAGTCGAGTATCAAGTAGCTCGTTTTGACTCGTTAAGAATTCGAGTCGAGTCCATTCAATCCGAATATTTATCAAGTCTTGATCGAGTCGATATCAAATAACTCACGATCTGTCTCGTTTTATTTACAGTCCTAATCGTGGATGTAACCTCTCCTTTCTCTTTTAATTATAAAATAAATTTAGAATTCTAATAAACAAATATTAAACTAATCAGAATCAGAAACATCTATTTAAAATTCTAATAAACACGTAAATTTGAATAATTATTTTAAAATACTAAAGAAATTAAGAACAGTGGCCCCAAAATGAATCATAGCTTCGTATCTGGACCTATACTTATCGAAACTATCGTTGCATTCGATAAAACGTATGCATTGGTTCTAAATAAAATAATGATAAATATCAGTAACCGTCAAGAAGAGTGTACGTTTTATTTTTAAATAAAAATCTTAGTTCAAATTTTGAACATAAATAACAATATTTAATACACCCCTATAAATAACAATATTGGTATAATCCAACAGCGCATGGAGTCAATGAAAATTAATGAGTAATTGAAGAAAAAAAATACAATGAGACGTGAAATTAGAGTTGGTTTGCCCCACAAATAGGGGGAAAAAACAAACAACATTCTTTTAATGTCGTATTTATGATCTTTTCTTTGTTATTTGTGTGAACTGTGGGAGTGGGTACTAATTATGTCGTAATCCATTAATTGAATTTAACGACTATAATTATTCACATTCAATTAGTTTATTGAAATATTTAATTTTTTAAAATGAATAATATTTTTTTATATGGAATAATTCAATAAAAAATTTTAATTGTTCTATATATAATAGATTCATTATAATTTTTATATTTGATACATAAACCTTAGAAGAATATAATTAGAGGCGGCAAACAAGACATTCGAATTGGGTTTAAGTCGAATTATTTCGGGCTAAGATTATATTCGGCTCAATTTTATTCGGATCGGATCGGATCGGATCTTGTTAGGATTTAGTTTGGGTGGATGGTAAATCGGGTCGAGTCGGTCTGTTTTCGGGTCGGGTGATTATTGGATTGGTTGTTTTTTGTTCGGATCAGTTTATTTTTGTGTCAGGTTAATATCATATTAGTTAGATTTCGGGTTGGGTCGATATCAAATTGGTTGATTTTCGGCTTGGGTCAACCTTTGGATCATGATAATTCGGGTTGAGTTAGTTATGAGTCTAATCAAGTATATATAAAATTATTGTTATATTCTTATTAAAAAAATATGTCTTCTTGTCTGTTAATCTTATTATTTAGGTTCAATTACAATTTTCAATAGTTCAATATTTTAAATTAGACCATCATTTATAGATGATAAATTGACACAGCACATTCCTATAATGCGTGTTACAGCTTGTTACTAAAATTTTATATTAATCTTGTACGAAAAATTTATAATAAGAATTATTTTATAAAATAAATAAATTTTAATTAAGAAATTTATTTTCAATCAAAAGTTTCAATCAAATATCTAATATTTAATTATAAATTTAATAATATTATTAAATTTTAAAAAACAATACATAACATTATTTGCTACGTTTTACTCTTAAGTTGTAACATAAGTTTTCTATTATTTTCATTATAAATCTAATATTAATATATCATTTATTTGGTTCGATCGGATCAGATCGGGTTAACTTCGGTTCAAGTTTCTTTCAGTTTGAGTTAAATTTCGGTTCAGATTATTTTCGATTCGATTTATTTTCGATTATGATCAAATTAGATATGGATCTATATCAGGTTAACTAAATTTTAGATTAGGTATGGTTCGGGTTTCGGATTAAATTTAAACAACATGTTCAAGTAAATATCGAATAATAAGTCAGATAAATCAGTTCAGATAATCGAATTCGGGTAAAGTTTATCATGTCTAAATCTAACTTGCATAAATATTTATTTTAATATTAAAAATCTAAATATAATTTTGCTTTGAAAAGTAAGATAACATTAGATTACCCAATAATAAATAATGATGGGAAGATCCAATGAATGAGAGTATAATTGGTAGATAGTGGAGGAGTCATAAGGAGAGTGCACTCCTTTTATGAAAATTGATGATGATTACGTGAGAACCATGGACCATGAACCGGTCTGGGTGAAGAATCTGCGCTGTCGAGGATGCACCATTACAAGTATGCCCCTCGTGTCCATTCAGATTTTCAGGTACGTCGAGGAGTGGGGATGTGGATTTATGAAGTCGTTATGGTAATTTTACGCATCCGATATTAATAATATGAAGGGTATATTTTATCATGATGGACAACAAGGTAAGTGGGGAACAAACTGTAACCATGACGATGATGGTAATAATAATCTCCGAAATTTATGAAGTTTGACTTCTTTGCAATAACCAAAGTGCCACCAAATTCTATTTACATTTCTTTTTCTTTTTAAATTGAATTAAAAATGATATTTAACTACAGATAAAAGAAAAGAAAATTATAAATAGCATCGTTAATAATGGGATAAAGTTATAAAATAATTTTGACCACTGTTTTTTTAGTCTTTTAATTATTATAAATTATAAAATAGTCACATGATTATTTATATGTTTCAAAATTTTCTTCATTCATTAAAAAGTTGCAGGTGTCTGAATGAACATAAATCTACTTACTAAGATATGATAAAAAATTGATCCCTAAACTATTTGAATGGCATCCGGTGGATCTAGTCTTTGTTTATATCATATCATTGAGTCGATGCGTGAGATATTATATTGTTGAGTCAGTGCTAAAAAGCAACATCGATGACAATAGACATCATTAAAATATGATTTTATCATATCTCAATCAGTAGATTAACATTCAATACAGACGATTGGCAATTTTTAACTAAAAAGACAAGTTTGGAACATATGAATAACTAGATAATCAATTCATAATCTTTAATAGTCGAGGGACTGAATAAAGTAACATCTATAGTCGAAAAAATATTTTGTAACTTTTAATAAATATTTAGTATACTTAATAAAATAATATTTTATAGTCGAGACAATTTGTGTACATTATCTTTAATATTGGTTGAAATACAATTCGGGTGCTAACAAAAAAACTAAATTGTATCTTTACAATTTACAAGTTAAAGTCCATTTCAGTACCCAAAAATATCCCGATCTTGTTGAGGAATGATGGCCCCAAACTAATATATCTTCTCCTATAAGAGAAACGAGACATCAAAGAAACTTATTGGCGTCCTCGATAGGAGAAACCCTTTACATTAATTACAAAAGAAAGATGAAATAATGAAGAATTAAGTCCTGAACACTCTTCTGGCTCCGATAATCCCATCGAAACCTTACTTCGATTAAGACAGAGGAATGGTCCAAGGAAATAAGAATGGAGCCATCAATCAAGCATACAACTTTGGACATTAATATTTAGTAATGGAAAAAATCTAACTCTTTTAAGTTAAAGAAAGTAGTATACTTGCAATCTTGCAACAAGCAATGTCATCAGCTCAGCAAAACACTAGACCTTCAAAGACTACATACTAAATATGGTAAAAGATACCACAAAGATTACTCGAAAAAAGTTAACAGCTTAAAAGGAAGATGTAATTCAAAGAAAACATAATACCCAGTAGGTAAGCTCATTATTTTCATGAACACCAGTCCATGTGTTTAGAGATAAAGAGAACGCATGAATTACCCTAAGCAACAACATCATTGGACACATTTCAAAGCCTTTGAAATTCATCAAGCATGTACTTGATAAGGGGTATCAGAAGCAATGGAAGATTGACTAGCTAGGTTGAATAGAACCAAAATGAACCACCAAGTATTAGCATATAGCATATTTAAGTACTACAAGATAACAAACATGGAAAGGTTTACAAGAACCACCAAGGAATGTTGAACACTTTCAAAGCAGCAACTCAAGAAGACAAAGATTCTATAAACCGACACATGAAAGGAAACAAAAGAACATGATTTAACTTCAACACAATTCCAAAGAGGCTTCAATGATTTTCGGTAGCACAGAAAAACAAAATAAACAGACAAAGTAATTCCCATAGCCAAAAGACTGTTAAATACTTAATTATGCATTCGGTGAAGCGCATAACAAGTATGAGAAAGACGCAAAATAACGTCTAAAGGGAACAAAAATGGCACGATGAAATCTGAGATTCAAAATGATTAACAAAGCCCTCAAATCTGATGATGATGGACATGGTGACAACAAATGATGATGGTAAACATATAAATGAAACAGAACTAGTGCTAATGTTAAGTGAAAAGAAAAAGCATAAACAAAGCCAATAGGAAGATTCACACACGCACATATATATATATATATATATAGAGAGAGAGAGAGAGAGATGCATTCTATAGCAAAAGCCCATAATGAAATTCAGAATTTCAATTTCAATGAGTTTCTCAATCATTGGGCCCCAACAAAATGGTATGCAAAAATTGTAGTTCTCAAAAAGTAAAACTTGAAATGAAAAATAACAACGATCTTCAATATAGCAATTAGCAAGCGATCCAGAACGTTAAAAATGGACAATATATAAAATCTCTACCTTTGGACATGTATTCTGCTGTACCACAACTTATTTAATGCGGTTTTTAATTAAAAATATTATTATTTTTACCCTAAAAAATCATATAAATTTATAATATTTTCGAATCAATCAAAATTGTTACGAAGAATGTAACATTTTCAGTTTCAACTTAAAATGCTATTATTATCAACCTAAAAAAATTACTTTCTTGATAAAATTTTCAGTTGTAACTGATTTGTGCCTTTTTAATTGCATATAAAAAGTTGTATTTTAGAATTTTCGATTTTCGTATGGGTTTAATCTCCTTAGAGAACCGATTATCAATTGGAGATTCATATAACAAACGTATGAAGTAGCCTCCTCTAAATTACACATATAATCATTTAACTATCACTTTAGTTCTTCTTTAATCATCCAACTATATTTATTTTCTAAAACATCATTAACGTTACATTTTAGATTATAAAATAAGGACTCGAAATTAATTCGAGTAAAATTTTATTCACCTCTAATCAACTGATTGTATTTGTGGACTTTTATCTTCTTCATTTTTTCCTTCAACAACCCCACCAATTATTTAATTCCGACGGCCCATCTCTCCCATTTATTACCAAAGTCCCATCAAAGCCTCAGACCATGCATTTTTTTCAATTTCATAGATTAAAATTAAAAAGGAAAAAGAAAGAACACTGCCTGAAATATATGATGAATTTGGTAAATTTCTCTGGAATATCTCCAAGTTAGAAGTACACTAGTGGAAATGATCCTCTTGATCATATCGTAAAGGGAAAAAGGGAGAAAAACTTTTAGGAAAATATATTAAAAAAGGACATGTTTTTTAATAAAAATAAAAATATGATGATTCTAAAATTTCTCACTCCCTGTTAGTTTAATCTTGGAATCCTGTTTTTTCAAAAATTGCATTTCTGACCCTCCTCAGATCTCTTCCTTTCAAAGTCCTCCCGATCCCTTCGTGAACCGAGAAGGGTGCGATCCTAGTCAACGCCATTTGCTTCGCTAGAAACTCGTGAGGCGGAACCCGAACACCTCCTTCCGACCAATAATCTCCTTCCACGTCATTTTCTTCGCTCTCTGATCTCCTCCGATTGTCACGGTACTCTTCCTTCAAAATCTTCGACCAGTCCGGAATGCTGACCGGAAGCGACGCCGGCGCCCCCCCGATAACAGAATCCCCTCCTCCGCGCTTCGTCGAAGGCTTCTTCGCCACTCGACTTGTGGACCGAAACTCAGGCGATGCGGGACGAGTGGAGACACCGTTGTTGTAAATATCCCACTCGTCTAACTCGAATGCCGCCGAGTCGTGACTCAGCGCCGCTTGTAGTTGTTGATCGCTCGACAGGAATCGGCAGTTGGGTCTGGAGTGATAGCTTTTGCTGCTCGCCATCAACAGATTTAAAAGATAATCTTTCAATTCCCCTCTTCTCTTTTTAAGTATTCTCTCTATGGGATTTTTTGTTTTTGGTGTGTGGTTTTGTGTTTACTCTTTGGTTGTCTGCTTTTATAAAGGTTGCCTTCCATAATGGATAAGGTTGGCTACTCAATTTAAAATTAAAAAAATAAATTTAATATACAGCTCAGACAATTACAGAAACGCACCGCAATTTTCAAGGAAATGCCACGTAGGCCTCCTCGTTACTGACTTCCCAAATCAAAATGGAAAATAAAACTGATTCTCTAGATTTCATGTTTATTTAATGTTATTGATGCATTTTAATTTTTGAATTAATTATTTTATGATAATGATACAGTTTAATATGATTAAATTTTGAAGTGAATAACTAATTTTTTTTCATCTTTTTATTTTAAAAGACTACAATTATTTATCTAGCAATAATTATAGTGAATTTGCTCATCATATACACTAGTACTGGATGTTAATTATTTTTTCTCTAAAATTATAATAATTATATAAATATATTCATAACAACATGGGAAAATAATATTTGTATAAATAAAAATTTGGTTAAAATACATAAATTATTCATCGATTATAGAATATTATTTTATTAAGTCGGTTGATTATTAAATATTATAAAAGAATCCTCTAACTATAGAATATTACTTTATTAAGTTATTCAACTATTAAAAGTTACAAAATATTCACTCGACTATTCATTATGATTCAGACTAATCCATTTTCGTTTAAAATTTGTTGGTTGTCTAAACTGGACGTTAACGTGACGAATAGGATATGATAGTCGTAGGAGATTCTGAGATTAAATTTTATTATATCACGGTCAGTAGGCTAACGTTCAGCTCAAAAATACTATCAATTTTTAATAAAAAAAGATAAGTTTAAAATATAATAAATAGTCGGTGATCGTTTTATAACTTTTAATAGTCGATAGACTCAACAAAACAACACTTTTAATAGTCATGAAACATAATAAAATAATATCTTATAATCATGATATGTTTGTGTATTTTATCCTAAAAATTTAAATTTCATGTGGAGTACATATTTCAATCTGAAAAAATAGAATTGATAAGATTTTAATCCAACAATTTAATATTTATATCTTCATAAATATTCTATTAATTAAACAATTGAAAGTGGATAAACTCTGGATAATTCGTTGGAGGATTTGACTTTCTGGCACTGTCTATAAAACTAAATTATTTCTTTAAGAATCGAAATGTTGATAAGGATAAGTGGGTTCACCCGACCGGGTTCTAGGAAAGAGTACAAACAAGTGGTCCCCTTTTAGATGATCGATGATTCGACACGTGTAGAATGGATCGCCCGCAGTTTACACGTGGCGTCCAGTCTTTTAGCGTTAAGGCAACGAGCGGGGTCGCACGTGGAGTGGGTCCCACTAAATTTCTCTCTGTGGATTGCCAGCTGGCCCGACCTTTGGACATTTCCTGAACCAGAGAGAGAGTTTTTGGATTGGGAGATTGAAGATGGTGTGTTGAACGTTGAACTCGGCTCAACTTCACGTTTCGCTTGTGAAATTAAATAAATAATTCAAAACTTTTTTAAAAAAAAAATATTAGCAGTCCACACATGTCTCAATAATGTTAGTAGAAAACATAAATCGACTTTGTGATTATTTTTGTATATTTTATTATAAACAAATAATATAACCTATATTTTCTGATCACGTCGAATTAGAATTAAAGAATCTTTCTTAAAACTAAATTATAGAGTTTAGTTAACAATAACAAAAGGTTAAGTGGTTTTATTCTCACCTGTTAAAAAAATTTAGTTCATGTACTTCAGTCTGAAATTATTTTATATTGTGAATTTGTGATACGTTAATCCAAGTCATTAACACCATTAAACAATTTAAAAAGATTCGGTCATTGATCAATTAATACATTTTTAAAATGATATATATAATACTTATTTTATCTAAAATTCAAGAATATAATTTATTTAATTTTTAAAAACAATTTTGAAATCATATTTTTTATATTGGCTTAATTATAAAATAAATGCTTAAACTATATCGCTTTTCACAAATAGGTGACTAAACTATTTTTTGAATTGTCCTGATGCCTACCGTTACAAACGTTACCATTTTAGGTGTTCCGACCGTAAAAGACGTTAAGTTCTTCCCTAAGCGACACGTGAAACATTCTGATAAATTTAAAATTTATTTTTTAAAATTAAAAATATTATTATATTTATTAAAAAAACTTAATTTATCTTAAATTACAAAAAAGTCAAAATCCCTAAAATCTCCACATCCTAACCCTAACCTAATATCGTCGCCCTTTTCAACTATAACCACCGTCGTCGACATAGTCCTTACCATCCTCGTAGTCATACATCGTTGTAGTTGCCACCAATTGACATCCTAACCCTAACCCAATATTGTTACTCTTTTCGGCTACAACCACCTTCGCCGACTTAATCGTTGACATCCTCCTAGTCATATGTCGTTGTAGTTGTCTCCGTTTGATCGTCTGAATCGTATGGGATCATAATTTTCATTATAGGGTTTGCGGGGTATATCGATCTGCCGCGGTTTCATAAGGGTTTTGACAACAAAGGGTAATGGATGATGTGGATTTAGGAATTGAAATGAAGATTTTCAAAGTTTTAGTGCTATTTTGAATTTTTACCATTTCCACCATTTTTTTTTACAGTTTTTACCCTTTGACATTGATTTTGCGATCAAAATGTTTTTTTTTACCTAAATGTGCTTTTAAAAAGCTTTACCAATCACATCCCTAATTTTATTTAAACAAAATTTATATTTTAAACTCTTAAATATTAATAATCGAATTTAATCACTTTTTTCCATTGAAAATAATATATATCTCTTTCATATTGTTAAAAGGAAAAAGGTGGTGATTTATTTCGTAAAGTGTAAACTGAAAAAGGTCGATTAATATAGAGTATTCTTAGAAGTGAATTCGTGATTCTAAAATAGGGATGAAAATAGAATTTTGGCATAAAAGAATACAAAATATGCGCGGGATCAAATAATTATTATTTCATAAAATAGGGTCCCATATTACTGTTATAGAAATAAAAGTTTAAAAATTGTTAGATATTTTCTTGGTACAATTAATAAATATTTTTATATAATACTTATATTTTCCATATATATAATAGTAAACAGAGGTATAAAAAAAACATAGAGAATACTATAAATAATTTGTTGTGATTATTAATGAGGGTCAAGAGTGACATTTCAGGTGTTTAATATTCTAGGCTCACTAAAATAAAAAATAAAACAAAAAATTAGGTTGGATTTATTGGATTATAATATATATTAAAAACAACTTTAAAGTGGGAGATGATGAGATTAGAATAATTTTTCTGAGTAATTAAAATAAAGAGAAAAGATATGGTCCGTGTTGCGTGGAATCAATGATTTTAGGGGATTGCGTTTTCATGTCGTCCACTTCACTTCGAAAGTATGCACTCGAAAACGATTTACTTACTCCGTCCAATTTAATTATTTTGATTTTCAAAACTATATACTTCAAAATATTATATTAAAAAATAATCAACAAACAATAATATTTATATTTTTTATATTTATATATCCCACTCTTATACATCTATTAAAATAAATCAGTCGTGTCTATTAATTATATTTTAGGAATATTTTCGTATTTTTCTTTAGTCAAATATGTTTCTTAAAAATATGTGAATAATGAATGTAAGACATAAATTATGTAACGAAGAGAATATATATATGTAGCAACAGTGGTTGAATAGATCAATTTCTTATCTTACCCCATCCGAGTTGAGAAGACATACAATGTTATCGACAGATCTAAAAATTTAATAATGGAGTTCAAAAATTTTAATATAAAAAAATAATGGATACACTATTTTTTTTATTTTTTCTAAACATATTAAACTAAATTTTATATTTTTCCTAAATAATTAGGATGCTCCATAGTTATCGAACCTGGTCTCTACCATCAATAGATCCATCAGTGCATTTTAGCCTAAGTGAGCTAGAGTATCGGTGACGCCGTTTGCTTCCCGATAAATATATGAAACCATTGTATTCCACTAGAGATGGAAGAATCCGCTGATCCTCCAAACAAGAGCTACCTCGTGCATTTGTTGTGGTTCGTCGAGGATCCTCCGAATAGGAAATTATATATTTGAATTCATATAATTAAAAAATATATAAATATTTAGCATGTCGTCACTCTTATTTTTTATTAACATAATAATAATAAGTTTAAACCATAATCTTTATATCTTACCCCAATTTGATATTAGTTCTAAAAATATCAGTACATAAGTTACACATCATGAAATAATGACCAGCTTACATTAGGCTTCAAGTGAATTGTCCGTCCAACTCAGTTGGTAGAGCGCAAGACTCTTAATCTTGTGGACGTGAGATCGAGTCCCACGGTAGACAATTCATAATTTTAACTGCCGGAGGTCTCCCACGGAAACTGCTCTCAACCTGACATTAGGAACAACCTACTATCCTATCTCCTCTTATCCCATTACACATGGGATAAGATCAGCTAATTTTTTTTTTTTACATTAGGCTTCAAGTGGTCGAACTTTAATTTATAGTTATTATTTTAATGAACAGCTAAATCAACAATAATCACGTGATACTGTAGCGAGCTTGGGTGATGGATAACAGGTAATGTTTAATAGCTAGCCATGGATGTCGACATTATAGACTAATAATACATTAACCTTCTTTGTAATAATAACTATAATAACAATAATTGCACCTTGTTCGGATGTCTAAGAAACAAAAACCCTATTATTTATTTTATTTTTATGATGATTGTGTTTAATATTATAATATTCATTTCTCTTTGAAAAAAATAAAAAATACATATATTAATTTTTCTTTTTGATAATCCAAAACTTTTAATTTCGAATTCATTTTATATTTTAGTTCTTTTGTGTGGATTTTAATATTCGTATAATGTTGGCCGCAGAGATGGATCGAGAGGGACAAGTAGGGGCAATCACCCCTTAAAATTTAAAATTATCATATATTTTAAATTTTTT